TAACGCTTCAATGTGGTTTCAGGTTAATGTCCATTATGTTACGTACTGAATATTTCTAATACTTAAAACTTCATTCTCTTCACCTTATTCTTTGCAAATTGGGTCGGGCAGCTAAATCATCCACATATCTCTGGGTCTAACATCCACCCAATTCTTTGGTCTGTGCCCTTCTGCACTGATCTCTCTCTTAGCCGATTTGCTATTTTATACACCTTTCTTCTTCAGTCATGCCCTTGACGCTTTACGAAAAGTGCCTGGTTTAATTATTATGTTAAATTATAATATTTGTTAAATGTTTTTTATTTTTCAGCAGAAATATATACACAGACTCGGTACAGTTTAAATAATTGTAGCGACTTCTCGTGTGTAATTCTGACACACGAACTGATGTCGTTACTAATCAATACAGCCATTGGTTTTAAAATGTACTATGAGTAGACAATGCTCGTTTGTTGATGATTTGATACTAATTTTTGAATTTTGTATAAGTTACGTGACGAGTCCATGTCAAATAACGTTCAAAACTAATTTGTATTTTGTCAATAGGCATTACAGTCGTTTTGCCTCATATGCGTAACTAGAGAACACTTGGGGTGGAAAAGTAGCTCTCATAAAGATTCAATAAAATTTCAACTACTTTTTTGAACTCGTAAAAAAAAGGGTTTGTGCTTAGAGCCATTCCCCTATGTAAAGCCGTTGTTACGTCTATGATAGCCTAGCAAGGATAATTAATATTGAAGTTCTAACATAATTTAATACCGATTCTAGTAAGAATTCAAGCTAGAACGTCTTGTATTTTATTTAGATTCTGGTGACATCATGAATTATGAATCATTATGTTCTTAATTTTAATTAACAGTTTCTATGTATATAATTTAATTATACCTAATAAACACCGTCTCTTATCCTTCAGATCTTGCTCATTAATAACGGTGCGTTATATGTAATTTGCAATGATCTGCTGGCGCGGTTTTTATTGAATAGTAAATGTAACATCCTCTTTGGAAGAAAAATATTGCCATAATTAGCATTGCTATAAGTAGGTAAGAAAAAATGTCCTCTATTAACACAAATTTTGATATAATGTAAAACTAGAATGCGCTTCATAGAACTACGCTTTCATTTGGTCTCCAGGACCTAAAAATGATTGTAATGGAAAAATAAAAATAAATGCGTGTAGTTTATATACACTTGATATTTCCATGCAACATTATTTAATTAACGGCTTTGCTTTAATGAGTGAAAAATATATAAATTTAATGTAATTTAAAATGATGTACCTATTGTGTGTTTTGTAAAGTGTATGTATACCGAAAGTGTTAATTTCATAAGCTGAGTACTAACCTAATTCGGGTTTTAAAACATTTAAATTATTAAAGGTTATTGCGTTCCATATAGTGTTGGTTACAGAGCTAAAGGGTCTAAAAGCTACACGGCTAAAGGTATTTTTATTGTTATGGGAAATTTAAAAAAAATTCTACACGTCCATTTCATAGTGACTGAAATGTACAACATATTAGAGTTGTGTTTTGTTAAGAATATATAATTTTAAAATGAAAAACCTTAATATTTTAAGAAAGTTTCTATTTAGCGAAACTTCAATAAACCTAATGTCCGATTTTCCTCTTGTTATTATTACAAGTAGGAAAAAAATAATTCCTTAACACTTAAAATGCTGTTGACGAAACGATTAATTTGTTAAAACAAAATATGGGTCTTTTGCAATAATCTGATTTCTTTTATCGAATTTATATTATTATTAAGTAGATTCTAAATTATCTAAGTGATTGACATAGCGTGATTTTATTATCTTTCGCGGCTAATATTTTTACAGTAAGTAAAACTATAATCCGTCATGTGTATTAAAAAAACATAAAAACATGTGTTTAAACACTTATTTTAAACTATATTTTTATTTAACTAACCAATACGATGATTATAATTTTTATTTTTATTTTATTTAGCGATTGAGTATGTATATTTTACAACTTTCATTTAAGTTTGAGATTTTGTAAACAAGTCATGTGTTTTTACATGTACACTGCCCTGATAAGCAAATGTGTCGTACCTTTAAATAAACCCGATTAAACCAAGTAATATAGTTTTTTACTGGGTTTAATCAGTTTTTTTTACAACGAAAACAAAATTCGACTCAACGGCACTTTAGCTTAGTAGGGCAGAGTACATGTGTCTGTACATAACGTCTTTAGCGTTAAAATTGTTTTCCTCGCATTTCTTATATGGCGAAAGTGAGGTGAAAGAACTTTACTGACGAAGCTATGCCGATGGGTCGTTTAAGAGGGTATATTGTTCTTGCTCGTGAAAAGTTAGTTTTGACGGAAGCCGTGACCCGCTCAGGCGACTAATGGTTTTTAGGTGGTTCGCTGTCAGAACTTCAGCTAGAAAAAATAATTATTTTTTGTACGCAGCGGATAAAAAACAAGGATGAATGAAGGGCACCCCTCGCTTCATCTTTAGCTACAGAATTATAAAATCGTTATGTGCCGTAAATTACATTACGATCGAAACGGAGAAGCGGTGCCCTCTATTAATGCTTTTCTGAAAGTCTTAAGCCCTCTTTTTTAAAAATTTTTTACTATATAGACCACCACAAAAAATAAGTACTTAAGGGGGGAGGGGCGGTCTCTTTACAATGTCTGTCGTTGTCTCGTCGGGTAGTTTATAGGCGTAATAGTTCTCTATTGGATATTGGTCGGATCTAAAATTGATACCAGACACATTGCGGTGGTTATTAGGTTTTTATTATTCAATACTTAATTATATCATCAAGAATAAATTGCGCTTAGTCACTTTTTCCCCATTAATTGTGTTGCGCTGGCTACAAAATGTTCGTCCCTTGTGTCTCTTCGACGCTATATCTATCAAGACCGTGCTCGACCACCCGAGTTTTTACAGTGTGACACAGTATGTACATTACATTCAATATGTATAACGTTAGACTATCGACTAGAGAGAGAGAAAGAGAGAGTCATTCGGTGAAATTATTCCGGGCTTCAACCAGAAAGCTGCAGTGGACATGGAAACTCAACTTCAGGTATGTCATTATCGACGAGTCCACCCACAAGTCGACCCTTTGTATACTTGGCTGTTGCTTGCAAACACCAGAAGAAGTTGTAAGGTACACGCCGACTCCGGTCGGCAAAATCAATAAGTATCATTGTTTTGTCGACGAGAATTGAACCGCAAAAATAGATTTTCCATACGTATTACGGCCAACCGCAGTGGTGCAAAACAAACCATCTTTAAATATTATTATACCGTTTTGCCATCGACTGACCGCTGCTTTGAATTACTCGTGTCTTGGGAAAAGTCGATATCTCACCCGATCTTACTCTATTAGCTAATTACATTATGTTATTCAATTTGATCACAGATCAACAAGTATCGTTCTGCCTACAATATTAAGTGAACTAACACTGCTCATTAAAATCTTAATACTGGAAATGTGATCATTATTTTTCACATTTCTGTGCTCGAACAGTTGGAAAATAAAACCCCAAATACGACTTAAGCGGGTTTTTTTTTTGCTTTAATATGTTTATTATATTTATGTTTTTGTTTAACCCCCCTCTCCCACCAAAAAAAAAAACAAATTCTCGATTTTTCTAGGATACATGAACCCCTTTTGAGTGCCTTAACTGTCAATGTGTACAGTTGTCGGCAAGTCTTGGTTAAACAAAATTATACGATTGCTTACGATAATGCATGCCAATTCACTATTTTGTCCTAAAATGTATTCCTACCGTGGAAAATTCACAATTTTCAAAACGTTTCTATAAAGTTTAGGTTTTGTTTTTACTTTATTTTGAAAAATGTTATACCCAACTCCAAATGTCATAAATAATAAGAATGTTGTAACATATATTCGTTAAGCAGATATGAACTGACTTGAATTAACTAACCTACAGCCATGTTTTCTTTGATGGGAACATTAGGTCTAATTACTGGCGTTATTCTTGATAGGTCGTAAGCGCTGTGCCTGATTAATTATTCGCTTCTGTCCACTGCCTTACAACTCGATTACTACAAATTCAATGCCAACAAATTGTATTAAATGAGAATATAAATTTAACCTGCAATATCATATTATAATGCACATCATTCTCGTGATGTGAACACTGGTGACCGATAAAAAATAATCTGTCATCTTTAATAACTAATTTTAGTCATACGATTATTATTAAGGAATGTATAACTTGTAATAGAATAATGGTAAAATGATAAGAGCTGTATTTTCGAATTTATTACTTTCAAACAAAACTTCCGTGGCCAAAATTAACCATCAGTGGTCATATAATATGTTAAAATCATTTTTGTTTTTCGAACTTGCATTATAGAAACGTAGTTGTGTATTAAATACCATTATTTTGGCTGGTAGACTACGTATACATATTACCGTTTGGCGGTGGCGTCTTATCTATATTTTAAATACATGTATTCCGTACGCAATCGTATATTTTCCCAATACCGAATTTATTACAAAAACCATTTATTGTTTGTGGGGGGAATTTCTCGGGACGGGTCAGATGTACAGAAATATATGTAGTAACTAAACGGAAACTAAGTATGTTATTTAGACATTTTTTCAAAAACATTTACATGAGCTAATAACATTAATAATATGTTAGGTGGGCGACCCAAGCGTGTTGTAAACGATTTTAATTCTATTGGCCGACGACGATTCGTGGTTTAAGGGCATTTGTGATACACGGCTATTTTTCAAACTTATATATATATATATAAATTAGTCACGCGATACGATTTATTGCTGCCGATATTGTGCAGGGGAATAAACAAAACAGAACTCGAAAAATCTAGGTCGATGCCGTTTACCCTTTAAACGCCTTGTGTACTGTGTACATGTTGTAAAACGATTTTTTTTTTAAATACAAGAGGCGACTTTTGTATCCTTTCTGGTTGGCTCCCTGCTTACTCTTTACCAATAACGATTAAAGTTTGTGTTTGATTTTAATTTTCAGGCCCGAATGTGCTCGGTTTATGGTTGAATCGTAAAATGGACGAAGCTGGCAAAAGACGGCGACGCTTATCTAAAAGAAGTAGTAGATGAAATGCCTGTGTTTATTTGCGCTAGACAAGAAGACAGGAGTAAAGTGTTGTGTTGGTTGTACACACGTCGTGTTGCGTCAACGTCGTTTTCTCTCAACACGTTGTGACGGTATTGATTTTCAAAAATACCGCTTTAGCTGCTTCCTCTGCCGTTCAAGTATCGCTGCAGTAGTATAATATGCCATCCAATGCACCATTACAAGGTATTCACTTAATTAAACTAAAAGGATTACAGAACGTCGAAAAACGTTATTTTTCCCCTACCACCCCCCCCCCCCCCTTCTACCATGTAAATAAATATCGCAAACCCGATGGCGCAGAACGAATGTATCTGCTGCACGAAACCCTACTCGTTGTGTGGCAACTGTTATCAACTTTTTATTTACAATTTCATATTAAACCGAGGAGTTCTATTCCTCTTCGCCGAGCCCGTTGTCCCCGCCAGCAGCCATTTAAGGGCGTGCCAAATTTTTCAGCCTTCCAAAATATATTTGGCAACGTTAACCTTTTTAAGACATTTATGGTTTAATACATTATATGACTGGTTGACTTATTTTTTTGTTTTACGTTTTCTTACAGGCGTGTTATTGCGGAAATAAAGCTGCACCGATGAATCTTGGGATCATACCAACTACCTTTCAGACCATTGTTTGCCAGTTAAGAACGTTGGCGACAATACAAATAAATGATCATTAGTGAGACATTTTTTTTTTTTTGAAACAAAATGAAAATGCTCTTAATAAATTTGACATTAGTATGGTACATAAAATATCGACTTTTTTTATCAACCGATCTATCTACCGCTCTCTTTTTCCTCTATTTTGTGTTCCATGATTTACCATCAGTAATTATTACAAATTTTTTTTTTTTTTTAATTAGTCGTTATAACCTTGTAATTAACGACAAGTTAAAAATATGAGTGGACGTCATGAACTTATGTTTCCTTCACACACCACTTTTATGCTTGTGACCTCTTAAATAGCGTCATATGACTAATTATTATTCTACAGTTATTACAAAAAAATGCATGTAATACTATCATTCATTGCTTAAAATATATTATAGTTCTGTGTCGGTTTAATTTATGAGATTATTAAACTAAATACGAGTGCAACATTTGATCATTAAGGGAGAGGCCGCTATAATAAATATTTTGTCTCTTCCTTATGAGCTTAAGTATACAAAAGTATCTGAACGCTGTTTGTTTTAAAAGCGTGCCCTGGGGATGTGTTTGCATTGTAGAATAAATGGATTTTAAAGAGTAAAATATTGGACTTCCTTTTTTTTAAATTAAAGTTTTCGATGTTGCTATAGTAATGCAATTAATGTTATCAGATTTAGATGTTTTTGTTAAATTTAAATAGAACTTAACGGGGAGAAAAAGAAATGCGCTTTTAACTTCAGGAGTAGGTATGTTTGTTCGAAAACCCCGTTAAATAGACTTGACCTTAATTCTAAAATAAATATTTTGATAATGTGTCAATAAAGCATAACAAAGTGCGTTAAGTACATACTATAAAGAGATGTAAAAGGAAAATCTTCGACTTTGTACTTCCAACATTTTTTATTTAAGCATTCGATACCTACATACATAGATAGGTAGACCACATATCTAGTGTACTTTATGGTGACTAGGTTAGTAACCATTATGCATAATTATTTTAAAATCAGGACAACACGGACTGGTGAACTATTTTGGCATTAAAAATGTGTAAGCTAACACAGACTATCATAAGCAAAGAAAATAAAATGTTAAGCGTTAATACACATTATTAATACCTTAAAATAGGTAACAATTCAAAACGTAATCTAGTTACGGAAAGAAGTTATTCAAAAACTGGATTTTCAACAATCTCAAGTAAGTTTTTTAATATAAATTTCAGTACCTTTTTAGGATTAAGGTGTACTTTTTATACCTTATAGAAATCTATTTAATACTGTTATAGTTTTCAATAGTATTTAATCATTTACAAAGCATCATCTTTTAAAAGTACCTAGATGGACGACAGACTTATAAATAAAAATGATTAATTTGAGGTTTGGACCCAGCGATGATCTCTGTTATGAAGCATACTTACATAGTTATTATTATTATTCCTACCAAAAGAGGTGAAAAGATAAAAAAATTTTCTTTAATAACTATTTTATTAGTTATTATTTATGACGTTAGTTTTTGAAGAAAATTCTTATTATAACTGAAAGTTGGTAACAACAAAAATATTATTATACATACAATCCAGTACAGTGATGACGGAGAATAATGGGGAGTCTTAAGTTTTGAGTGAAACATGGAGACTTGCGGTCTCAACTTTATACTACTTTCGGCTTATACGTGTTTCAAAAGCTGAAAACTTAAACAATATTTCACTGAGCGGTTTAAGATGTAAAGTCCGGTTAGTATACACAAATACCCTATAGAACTTAATTGTATAACTCATAAGTACCTACGGACGTTGTCGTTTGAACTTCATGAGATTGGGTTGGCTATCACTGTCATATTATATTGTACGAAGTATGAAATATTATTGTTAATTGTACTGTGCCAGCGACGATTCGTTTAAAACCTCCACTCGTTTCGTTAACGATATCTGTTTTAATCGTTGTTTAAGACATGCTGTATGCAATGACCATATTTTCGATAACGCGACTCCGTATTATAACTTTTACAATGCTTTATAACCGTATAGTATTAATTATTATCCGAGTGGGTTGTATTTCATCGGGCGGACGGGCATTACAATTATTTAACCATTACCGGCGCATCGGTTGCTAGCCGTATTACCTAGGTACCTATTGTATAATATACATGTGTGGATACACGTGTGCTTGGTCACGGGCAAAGTACAATTTATAATAATAATAACGATAATAATCATCATCATAATCATAATAAACGAACCCTTTGTTTTACGTTGTTGCCGCTTATAATTTTTTATTTTTCCATGATACAATGTTACGTCCCTCCAATGACATGCAACCAACCCTACGATATTGTCGGTGTACGCTACGACACAATATTGTTATATACCTATGTTATTTAATAATCGACCGAACAGAAATCAATTGTCCAGTTGTTTCCTACCATTTTAGCAAACATGATGTGTGGTACGAAATCGGTAAGTCTCGACACTAGTCACTATGAAAAAACATGTTTAAAATTAATTATTTTGCACGTTTCGTATTTGCGTGTATGCGTGTGTTTGTATTGTGTTTGCACAATGCGAGTTTTGCGCACAAGTGTGTTTCAACACAAACGACAAAAAAAAAAAAATACATACATCATAGTAACATAATAAGACCTAGAATTTTAAAAAAACATTTATCGCTACATTATATGTATGTGTTATGTCGAGTCAAAACTAAGAAAAATACACGCACATTATATTTCACAATGGACGGTGGGCTCCTCGCCACCTGTGCCATTGACAACCGTCACTGTCGGCGTGCGTGCATTGTTTCTGATCCGTTTTCTGTGTAAAAAAAAATGTATACATACGTATTCGCATTAACGCGTATTAGATATTACATGAACGTTGGCAAATTTTCATCTCGATTCGGCTAGCACACAGTCAGTCTATAAAGACCTGTGCCGTGTGCGATAGCCAAACGACCCGTTTTCCTACGGCGGTACCGTTGTGTGCGATACTACAAGCACCAGCTGTAACGTTTTCGACTCTACAACGTGAACATTCGTACCGGATTTTACAACACGGAATATGTGCGTGTAACGTTTGTTTTGTTCAGGGAAAAGACAATACGCGGGGGTACAAGTAAACGAGGGTTATTTATCTGTTCAATACACAATAATAATAATAACAGTCGTCGAACGACCGTCAAATTGGGTCGCGACTCTTGCGATCGTGTAAACAAGCCAAAAAAGGCCTTACCCAAACAACCGTAGCCGAACGTTATGGTTCGGCTAATATTACAATTCAGTACAGGTATGTCCGCAACAGCAATAAGACGGCGCCTGTCCAAAGCGCTTGGGTCGAGGGAGAAAGAAATGTGTACATAACACCAAAAAAAAAACCGACGTCGTTTTTACCTACAAACGCCGCATACCGTACGAATCGATCGGTCTGTCTGCCTTAACTGCCCTCGCTTTATATTTGTATTCAGATGACGTTGTGCAAACATAAAAGACCGACCCTTAATACAATGATAAAATAAAAAAGGAGAGATTTCTATGGAACCAAATAAAGTATTATTTCCCTCGTGACATTCATTATTTTACAATGTACTTTCAAACGAACGGTATGGTGCTAACTTATTTTATTTCTGTAGCAAAATGTGTTTCGTGAGAACTGATCGTTTCCATAGGTCAAGGCGTTCCGATTAATACACATAAGCGGACCATTAAATAGTATTTCATAATTGTACAGCACAAAATAATTACTTTTGTGAAATTGTAATTGTTCTTATTAAAATAATATTGTCACAAGCGGCGGTTGATTTCTGTGTATTCGTTTGACCTTTTTCTCCCTCGTTTGTCAGATACTCCCTTAAATATTTTACCCTTGCGAACGATTTGTTCTTTATACGCGTTACCTAGGTCTTGTTTTTTTCTACTTTGATTTTTTTTAATAAACCTAATGGTCGAATAATCGGTTTTCGTCGTGTACATGCGTTGTGGATGCTAACTAAAAAACGTGATTTATTGACGATGGTAGGCGAATTGTTGTCGTGTTTCGCTATTGTATTTTACGATAATGCACGTTAACGCTACAACGACGATCATAACATGATCTATTATATTACTACTATCATTTATTATAATAAACGACTAGCTATTTACTAACACTAAATTAGAGATGTGCTGTCGCCGTCGTCACGACGTCGCGCACGTTGTAAATGACGGTCAAGGAGATAATATTACACCTAACAACAAATACGGTAATTATACAGAGTTCAGGAGCAGACTCGAGTGTAATAATATTATTACGAACTCGTATACCTACTTACGTGGGCTATACTAGGAAAGAGAGGAACAGTGGTAGGAGATTAAAATATGTGGCGTTATGCTAAGATATTTTACACGAAATTGCCACCGGTTATAAGGGCGGTGGCAACGGCGGGGCGTTTTGGACGGCTGCGTGTGTGCGCAAGAGGGGAGACTGCCGGCAAAGCCACCGCTGTCGCCGAGGGGGTTAATCGATGTCGAAGGGCATGGGAAAAATTCAGGCGCTTTCACTGGTGCGCAGGGCGGCTCAAGTGTACATATATATATATATATATATGATATACGCTTGGAGATAGGGAAAAAGAAGGGTAGGTGTGTACAGTGGTCGCAGTGACCCGAACGGACGCTCGGTCCCGGCAGTAGAGAGCGCCCTTAGCGGTGCTATCGATTTTCAACTGTACCGTCGTCGGCGCTGCCGCCATCGCGACCCCCGGGGAAAACCCTGCCTTCTCCCACAAAGGAACTCTAAATTAAAATTCAGCCCCGTTCCATTTTACGCACACACGCACAACGTCCTTACTCGTATAGCCTGTCCGCCGCGTCCTTGGTTTTCTGCTAAAACGTTTTATTATTTTTTTTTTTTTTTTTTGTTCCACGCATATACTTACGGCCGAAAATCCGGATATTAACGTCGTTTCGCCAATAATGACGATATTAATAATAATAATAATAATAATAATAATAACGTGTATACACCTACTATGGTTACTACGACTACGACTATTACCGATACATCCTCTCGTTATACTTTATATTATATGTATCATTAGGCAAACTGTTGTTTACAATCGCGTACAGCCGATTGAATC